CCTGGTTTGAACACTTGATCATATTAGAATCAGAAAACTTATAAAGTTTAAAAAAAAAATGCATAAGAGAAGGTGTAAAGAATTAGCAAATCTTTTAAAATTTAAACTACGTGTATGATTTGACCCACAATCAACTTTGATTATTGTTTCCTCAGAAAAAAGAAACTATTACCTTAGGCCTAGGTTGAGCTTCTTGCCTACATAAGCAAGCTTCACAGAGTTTTCCTTCACATTAAACTACAGAAAAAAACAATTAAAAAAAAACATAATTCCTCAAAAAATAATTATACTAACTAAAGAAAAAAAACTTTAAATAATATGAAGTCGTTTCATTCATAAAGTTTTCTTACGAATATTATTGTAAAATACAATTACACACACACAAAGAAAGAAAAAAAAACGAATAATAAACCAAAGAAATTAAATAAAAAATAGTTAAAAATTAAGCAAAAGATTTACCGGGTTTGTGCACGTTCTAGCGTGAAGGGTAAAGAACATTCCATGTCATGTATCCAGATTATAGGAAATGATATACCTGTAAGAACACAGGAAAAATAATTTATTTTCATCAAACTTTTTATATAAAATGTCAGATATACATTGATGGAAGTTTATACAACCTTTAACTTTGGTTTAAAGTTAATTGTGAGAAAAATGTTGAAGACCATTCATCCAAACCTGAAATTATAAAAGAAACACTAATATTCTTTCGAAAATAAAGTGTAATTCACAGAGTCATAGTTTTAATAAGAACAATAACATCCATTTCTATTAGTGCTCGACAGTCATATGAAAACCTTTCGACTGTATACTTGGTAATAACTTTCTGTTTTCACTTTTCACACTTTGTAACACATAAATTTTGGGTAGGGTTAACTATAGTGTGCCCTGAACACACAGAATTTATCATGTTGTTGAACATTTTACATTAGTCACTCAGTTAAAGTAATAAAATATCAGTATATCAAAGATTCAAGATCTGTGAATCAATTTTCTAGATTTTTTTTAAACCTTTGTTAATGTTTCATTCTTTCCTTATGCTAAAATAGAAATCATATTCCAAAACATGAAAATTGCACGTTTAACATTTTATGAATGATTTTTCTTCTATTGCCAAACTTGAACTTTATTTTTCATTGGTAACATACTACAATAGGTCAACTAGTGACAAATCAAAAGATTGCAAAACCATAAACTATGGTGTTTCATCTGCTGATAGGATAGGCTAGTAACCTAAGTAATTGATTTTAGAAGGTTGAACTTGATCAAAGCAAAACAGAATTGAAGGAGTTTGTATCAATTTGGTTATGAACTAAGGGGCCAAACGAAGTTGGTAATTAGAGAAAATGAAGCTGTGATGATCAACACTGCATAAGTTTCAAACATGAGGAATAAGATTGGTAAAGAATTTTAAAAAACGAAACCATAAGAAAGCTGAGAAAGTAAATCAACAGTTACCTTTGTTCGTCGCTTTGGTATTGAACTGAGAGAACAGTTGACAATCGGAAATTTAACATGGATAGAAGACTGGAAAAAAGAGACATACCTTAAATCGACATACCCGACCTTTGTTGGTAACGAGTGGAATCATAGGCAGACAGAAGTCCATCCTTCGGTCTAAAGAACCTGATCTCTTCTGAGATTTCGTATTCAGAATCTCGTTCGTTGAGGGAGGCGGAGGAGGGAGTATAGAGATTGGAGCGATTGGAGGTGTGATTGCGCTTAGGACTTATGGAATCGAAGATTCATCTGGTGCGATTTGAATACATGTTTGAGCGACGGCGGTATTCAGAGGTGTAAAGTCGTAAACATATAATCGCAACAAAAGGATGAACCGATTTTTTTTACTATAAAAGAAAGAATCACAAACGGAAATTAGAAGACAACGTCTACAATATCTTTAAGGCGGTGGAAAAGATAAACCTGACCCAATTTTGAAGGCGGTCTGAATAAAAAAATATAACATTTTAAAACAAAACCGTTTGTAGCGAAAGTAGGAAATGAAGAAAAAAAAGTGGCAGAAATGAGAATTGTCAAATTTTCCAGTACCTCAAGATTTTAACAATTAATAGTATATATAATCTTTGAAAAAACCATTAATGAATTTAGACATGGGTGCTTTGAAAATCAGAATTTTTGAATTCTGACATAGATGTGTTGAAGTCTTTTGAGTTTTTAGATATAGTTTTCCCATTTGAAAACAATTTTATTATAATGTTTGAACCCACGTCACTTAGATTTTCAAAATTCTATTTACGACATTAAGTAATTTTCTAGTTATTTTGTACTTAATTATTATTTACAAAGTACATTTTTGTGAAAAAATGGTTCTTCTCCACAAAAAATTGTACTTCCTAAAGGTTTATGGTTCAAACTTAGCACTTTCGTATGTGATATGCCATGATGTGGGATTGACATGTGCCACTGATGATGTGGCGTTTATCACTTATGGAACTTGTAGGTTTAATACCCACTAAATACAATAAAAGACTATCTTGCCTTATAATGGAGGCCTAGTGGTTAGGGTAAAGTAGGTTAAGAATTCACATATCGATATGTCAAAGATATTTCTAATGTTCTAAGTAGGTTAAGAATTCAAATATTGACACCCTAAAGACAGATTATGACTGAATTTAGCATGGCAATCACATCATAACCATTTTATAGAATTTGGATGGAAGTCATGGAACCAACGGAAACAAATGATGGATAAAAAAAATACTAAAAAGCAGTTATTTTACTATGTTAGTTTATGTGCCGACTGCAATTAATACTTGAAAAAAAAGCCTAAGATCTCAATTCGATCTCGATATAATTAAAGCCTAAGGCTGGAGGGTGCCGTGCAGTTTCAGGGAGTGCGGTTTCGCCACATAAGCAGCGAACACGCCCCCTGGGTGCGGTTTGGTGCGGTTCAAACCGCAGTGCGGAAAAAATGGCTGAGGATTGTGATTGGGTGTAGATAATTTGACTGTTTTGTGATTGGGAGGGGAGAAATTAAAGTTTTTATTTAATTTTTTTTAAATAAAGTGTGCCACCACTCATTGGATGTGGCAAGGAACCGCACTTTTATGGTAAAAATGACGTGGCACTTACGTGGCAACGAAGGGAGTGCGGTTTCAGTGTCACCACTCCCTCCAGCCTAAGTCTATTAGACTAAAGGGTGTCATGCGGTTGTCACCGCCGATAGTCCGACATCATCCGTTTTACTGGAGGTGAACACCGCCCCCCTCTCTCCTATTTTTACCGGCGGTGAAGTACCGGTGGTAAGATTTCATTGTTGGTAAAAGTTTGAATTTTCCTTACCACTATATATACAAATCAAAACCTATTCACTCAAACTCATATTATTTCTTTTATATATTTACATACCTTTTGTAAAAATAAAAAAATTAAAAAAAATAAAAAAAGAAAAAAAATCCTCTCATAAAAACGGAAAACCCACTAGAAAATTGTAAGTTGTTGTTAACCGTTGGTCAAGGTGTTGTGAAATCATAGGAAATGGTTATGGATACGGTACAAGAAGAAGAAGAGGAAATCCAACCTAGAACGCAAAAGATGTTTCTCAAAGATCGTTGGGATGCAAACATCCGTCTAATGACACATTACTTCAATGAAAATTATGGTTATAGGGAACACCAGTACGTCGATTCCGACTGGCAAAACATTTATTTCTTCGTATAGTTGGTAACGTTACTAACATTTCTGAATATATATTTGACAACGTCGAGATGCAAGAGATGCGGATGAGTTTTCAAAAATACAAAAATGTCCAGTTGCGTTTCGTCAATCAGCTTACGGCTTTGTTTCTAATTCATGGGACAAATATTTTCAAAATGTATGAGCGAGTAGCGAAGGACAGTTTGGATGTTTGGATTCTCTTCGTTGGGTTTGGAGTAGTTGTCCTAATGCATGGCAAGGGCAATTTACATGCGGTGATAAAGGTTACGCCACAGTCATACTTAAAGTTGTTGCATCACGAGATCTTTGGATTTGGCATGTTTTTTTTGGTACTCCCGGCTCAAACAACGATATTAATGTCTTAGACATATCATCCATATTCGATGAGTTTTGTGATAGGTTCACACCTAACTGTCCATTTCAAGTGAATGGAACGACGTACAATTATGGGTATTATCCTGTTGATGGTATATACTATGAATTTGTTGTTTTTGTGAAAACACTAAAGTATAAAACGTACCAAGAAAATGCTAGGAAGGATGTCGAACGAGCATTTAGAGTCCTCAACAAGCGTTGGCGCATACTACAACATTCGGCTCATCCTCAAAGTGTAGAAAAGCTCGCTTGTATTATGTATGTTTATCATTTTATATAATATGGTTTTGGAAGACGAGCATAAAATAATTTGTTTGTTTCAACCAAATAACAATACATCTTCCAATGCACCAACACCGTTTGGTTTCATCCCATGACATGCAAAAAGAGGCTATTCGTGACAATCAAAAACACAACAAGCTTCGCAACGATTTAGCAAAACACATATAAGGAGTTAATGAAATTGATTTAAATAAGTTAAATGACAACGATATGTGTGAATATTTGGACAAAAGTATTTATGTAATTATTTGATTTTTAAATTAAAAAAAAAAAAAAAAAAAAAAAAAATTGATAGGTAAACATCACCACATCATACGTGGTATGTAAAAAATATAAAAACTACAAAAACTTAAATGGTGCTTAATTATGTAGAACCTTTTTAACATTGACAAAAATTATACCACATCCATTAGCCTTAGAAGTTTCTTTTAAACAGCTGGATTCATATTGAAAAAGTTACCTCTGTTGAAAATTTTTACTTTGTGAAACATAGTTTTAATAAATCTTTTAAATCTATCTAGAATATTTTAACAAACACATTTTCAAACAATATCACAAAACTACAGCAACAAAAGTTACAAAAGCTAATCAAGAAATTAAAGAAAATAAGTTGCAATATTTGTTTGACATAAAATATTTTATTGCGGCGAGTTGTTGACACATGGCTATATCCTAACTTCAATCCCTTGCTCTTTTACCGATTGAATCGGTACCTGCAAACAAATTAAATTTATTATTATTATTATATGAATAAATAAATATTAAATATTAAAATAATTAATAATTGGAAGAATACCTGTTTCCTATGAAAAATGCCTGCAGCAAGAGCATTTGTCTTTTCAAAAACATCTGAGAAATGCTGAGCGGCTCCTGCACCACTACTTGCAATCACTGGAATGCTCACCGCATCCGAGATTAGTTTTATCAGATCGATATCAAATCCTTTTCCTTGACCTATTAAAAATAAAAACATTCAAAAACTATTTTTTTAATTAAAAATAGAAAAATATTTGATTAGTTACCATCACAATCGATACAGTTGAGCAAAATTTCAGCAGCTCCCAATTCTTCAACAGCTTTGGCAAGCTCATATGCTCCAATTGGACGACCCTCTCTACCACCATTCACCTGTTAATTAATAAATAAAAATAATATATACATATATATATATTTTTTTTCGGTAAAAGTATTATTTGGTGCAGTTACGTCAACAACAAACACTTACAGTGCACTGATACCAGGCATACTCCAAGAGGGAACATATGTACCTGCAACATTGGCAAATCGCCAAGAGGGAAATTACGAAACCCAGTAATATTCAAAAAGCTAACCAATTCCATTCCAATCTATCAAACAAACAGGACCTAAGACATAATATGTAAATGTAATATATAAGAAAGAGACAGACAGTAATTAAGTACCTCATCAGCCCCATCTACATAATACTGTCCACTGGCTATGATTTTTACAAAAAGCTTTTTTTTTTTTTTTTTTTTTTAAATTTGGCTATGATTTTTATATTATTAAAATCCACCTCGTTATCTTTTGTCTGCTCTCTCACATCATACTGATCTCCTTTAGTCGCAACCAAATCACCCTTATCATTTGTTCTCACATCAAGACAAGCAATCACCCTCTTTGCAAGCTTTGTAGCCTTCCTTTCCAATGGCTTCTGGCTTCACATTAGGGCATTAGATTGTTAAATATATGTACAAGACACGTATCAAATTCAATATTCAAATGCTCAAAGGTTACCTTAGTCACACAAGAATCTGGTAACAAGAACTTCCGTAGGATCCAAAGACCAACATCTGATAATTTTTTAATGTACATCATAAAAAGTAAAAATTACCCTAAAAAACAAAAAAAATATATATATATATATATATATATATATATATATATATATATATATATATATATATATATATATTTTAACATGCCTCCACTTTTTTCAGGGTGAAATTGAACTGCATGCACATTTCCCCTCCTAACAGAAGATATGAAGTCAATTCCATAGTTGCAGGTGGATGAAACCCACTCTTTATTTTCTTCTGACTGTTGTGTTGTGTTGTGTTGTATAAAACACAAGGTCAGGGGTATAATTGGTATTTGCTTTAAAAAAAAAGACAAGGAAACATACCGGTACAGCACGATAAGAATGGACAAAATATACATGTTGGTTTGCAATATCATCTAAAATAAGTGAATCTTTTTTAATTTGCAAAGCATTCCAGCCAATATGAGGCACTCTACAACCATTGAAAGAATCAAAACGTCCAACCACCCCAGGAATCAAACCAAGACCTCTCACTGAAAACACCGAACAATAAATCACTGATTCAGTTAACAAAAATTATTTTAAGCTACAAGTTACAACTACTCACCTGACCCGTTTTCTTCACTTGACTCAAAAAGTAGCTGCAGACCAAGACAAATGCCTAAAAATGGCCGATCAAGTGCAAAGTGCTTCAGCCATCCTAAAACAACCAAAATGAAATTGAAATTTTGTTTGTTAATGGATGAAACAACATTGTAAATATGATGTGTAAAAGTTACCCGTTGTTGTTTAAGACGTCCATCATCGCAGCAAATGCTCCAACCCCAGGTACAATAAGGCGTTTTGCATTCAGAATGTCCTCCGGTGTTTCAACCTGGACAGTATATATACATATTATGGCGTTGTTGTTTATTGTTCATATTCACCATTGCAGAAAGAAGCTCAGAAGAACTTACATCTTTGATATCGAGACCGAGATAACGGATTGCATTTCTAATACTTTGAACATTGCCGGCACCATAATCAAGCAGAGTCACGGCTACACATGCAAGGTAATAAATAGTATTAAAAATGGAAATGATATGTAAAACAGATAGAGTGTAGAGAGAACCAGAATCGTCGCCTCCAACAGCGGAAGCGCGGACAGAGAACTTTAGTGGAGATTTGAAAGTGATGTTATTTCTATGCAATTTAAGTGGCGGCCTCCTCCATGAACTCGTTGAACCAGAAATGGTGGTGAGCTGCCAAGAACCGAGCCTCGCCGCCTCCATTTTTCCCCTTCCAAATGCTCCGTGCTTCAATTCAAGTCGGGAAAACGAACCAGAAAGAAAATGGAATACGAATGAAAGCGAAGAAACCACAAACATACGGTGGGCTGCGACGGTATCCGGCCGGTAGCTTCAGGGGAGATAACGGCGGCGAGCAGGGGAGGAGTCGAAGGAATCGCCCCGGAAGAGCCAACGATTGACGAGAATGGAGCGTCTGTGCTGTGTGAAACGTGTATAAGGTTTTATCAGGGGTTTGCTATAATTACCCCTCCCTTTTCCAATTCCACCTCGATTTCATTTTTTTCTTTTGTTGTTTTTTTTATTTTTATTTTTTTCTGATTTTTTTTAATTTTATTATTATTATTATTATTATTATTATTATTATTATTATATAAACTTCGAACAAAATTTTATAATTCGGACAACATTATAAAATTCGAAGAGATATATAAAATCGGTTTTTAATTATTTTTTATTATATATTATTATTATTATTACTATTATTGTAAATTTCGAACAACATTTTATAAATCGGATGACATTATAAATTCGAACGACTGTATAAAAACGGTTTTTAATTTTTTTTATTTTATATTTTATAAATCGGTTTTTAAAATCGGATGACAAGATAAATTTGAATGAAATTTTAAAATTCGTACAACGTTATAAATGTTGACGACATAATAAAATTCGAAATACTATATAAAACGGAATAAAATCAAAGTTTGTCTTTATTTATCACAGATATATTAATTGGTTAGTTGTTATATTTGTGTGGTGCGTTATGCGGATTGAAAACAAACTTTACTTTTGTTTCATTTTATATGTCGTTCAAATTTTATAATGTTGTCCGAATTTTATATGTTTATCAAAATTTATAATAATAATAATAATAATAATAATAATAATAATAATAATAATAATATTATTATTATTATTATTATAACACAATCATTTATTAGGTTTAAGGTATTTTCCGCAATTTCTCAAAACTGTGAAATAATTTGTGTTTTATTATAAAATACGAATTTAAATTAAATGACATTAGTAATGGAGATTGTAGAGTTTTATTTCAAGTAAGCTAAAAACAATCAAACTTTACAATACACTAGTTGTGTGTCGGCGCAAAGCGGCGGCGACAAATAGTTTCCGGGCACGGATTAACATATTTCGATAAATAGTTCTATTACAGCTATCAGATGAAACCATAAAAAACTTTAAGTATAACCAAGTTACAATATTGATAATTTTTTTTTTTTCGTTTTTACAACCCTCAAACGTTGACAAATTCATTTATGTGTCACTTCCTTGTAAATTGCAAGTAATTACTTATTCATAATGTTAACTTCTAATAATCATAACATGTTAATCTGTTTTAGAACTTTGATCGGTTTGTTGGGTTGTAGGGTTATAATAATTCAATCAAATTTTTTTCAATCTATTTTAAGTTGTGTTTTATAGTCCTAAAACCATTTTAATTTATATATTTAACACAAATGTTTATCCATTGATTTGTTTATTATAACATTTTACTTTTATTTTTTAACAAGATTTTAGATAGGATCATTAAAATCCTAGATGTTTGTTAAAAATCAATTAAAATAGAATCCAACAATAAAAAAAATTGGTAAAATATAAAGATGTTTTACTTTGTTTTTGTGTTAAAAAAAGATTCTTACCATATACCTTCTTAGACAGATGACAAAATTTCACATAAAAATCCAAAACCATCTCCAACCTTAACAAAACGAGGAATGCAACCGTTGAGAAATGCCAATATGATTATATATGATTATGAATGGATTATAAAAATCCACAATTTTAAAATAGCAATGCAATAATAGATTGAATATAACCTTCAACAAATAGGGTCATTATTAGTTACCGAGAACAAAATAGAGACGACCTCTAACATAGAGACTCATGGTTGATTACCAAGATGACCATATACTACCATGATGGATTTAGCACTCCTGATGGTGGTGTTAAATACTCGATTCTAAAAAAAAAAAAAAAAAAAAAAAAAAAAAAAAAAAAAAATCGACATGTTGACATGCTTGACAATTGAGGATGCATCTAAATCCCTAAAATCGTGGTTCAAAGGAAAAAAAAATTACAGAGAGAAATGGAATTGAGGATTACCATGGTGGCGTTTAATAATTTGATATGGATGTGGAGAAGATGGATCACATTATCATTAGCATCGAGACCCAAAACTACCATTATTTCCATTGTGGGCACATTATTTTAACATGAAATCCAATTAGGTCTATAGTAAGAAAAAAAAGAGAAACATTTAGAGAGCCATAAAATATTTTATTATGTGTCCATATGTCTTGGAACATTGTAAACAGAGAATATGAGATTTTAGGATTCAAAATTTGAAATTGAAATGGCTAGATAAACTGAGTGTGAGTTTTAATGGGGGAAGGTCAAAGATAACAACACATGATTGGGTGAATAAATAAGAAAAGTCATTTAATTGATGGAAGAGTATCATTTGATTATTTATGAAGCATTAATGTTTAATGTGGTTAGTTTCTGAAACAGAAATGTAGTGTATTGAATGGTAAGCATAAGTTGTTTGTTCATGATGTAATAAGAGTGGTACCTTTTAAATTTCAATAAATATCTAAAATGTTTTATATAATAGTAAAGATAATACTCATTATTTATATTAGATAAAGAAAATGAAAAAAGAGATATGTTATGAATGTTCATTATAGTAATGAATAACTACTCTTATAAATCTTATATATAATGTTTGTTATAATTCTCACTAATTATAGCAACTCCAACCTCTACACAATAAAAACCACTAAAATGATATAATTTTCACACTATTTTTTTTCATTCCAACCATACACTAAAAGCATCTCACTAAAAACATATTTTTAATTTATTAATTACAAAATATGTTTTTGTATTTTTTATTTGTGAGTTCACTATTGGTATTATCATCTTTATTGAAACGATTCCTCCCCAAACATCAATTTTCATCCTCTAATTTTCCTACTAAACTCAAAAATCTTTGTTGACAATTTCCCAATCAAGTTAAAGAACTAGTAAAAATAAGTTTGCATTGCAATTACAGTTTCTATTCTCCAAAATCAAGAAAGAGATGGGGGCTTTCAGATTTCATTATGAAAAATAAATAAATGAAATACAAGACGACATCGATGAAGAAGGAACAATAAAGATGAAATATAGTTTTACTGACTTTAAAATGAATTATATGTTTATAAAATCATTATTATATTAGTTAATGTACTTGGCTCTCATGCATAGTATCTCAACATTTTTGTGTGTTACTGTTCATCATCACTATTTTGTTGTTGAAGATGGTGGTCAGTAGGAGCTCTTTTGGCCGACAAATCACCATTTTGTCGGTCCATTGGAGTTGGTCTTATGGAGAGTGATATGGAAATATGAGAATCCAAAGTCATTTACTAAATAATAATTCATAATACTCCTTTGAATGACGATTGTATCATGCCTCGTTAAAACCTTAATAGGTAAAACCACGTGGAAAAAAACTCTTTATTAAGGAAAAAGAGCACATGATTAATAATAGATATTGGGAACAATTGCATCATTAAAAACTTGCCAAGAAAAACCAATGGAAAAAACATAGTTAAGGAAAAGAGTACAATACGTTTCCAACTCTCCATGGTTATCACATCACTTGATTTCCTTAAAGCACGACATGTCAATGTTCCGTATAATCTTTTCAAATTTGGATGTAAGAAGCGTTTTAGTGAACAAACCGACCAAGTTGTTACTTGATTGAATTTTCTGAATGTTGATGTCACACTCTTTTTAAAGATCATTAGTGAAAAAAATGTTGGTGATATATGCTTGGTTATTTTCCCTTTGATAAACCCTTCCTTGATTTGGGCTATACAAGCTGCATTATCTTCATATAGTATGGTTGGAACAGACGAGTTTTAGGCATAACAAAAACAAACTTAAAGCTCTTAAGTGTGCATGGAACCTAAAACAAGATCTATATTTTCACTATTTAACATATAACTATGAACATCAAAAGAAGAACCATAGGAACCCTAGGTTATTTTCGAAAATCACATAGAAAGGTTTAGGATTACATACCTTGTTGTTATTATAGCAAATAACAATGATCCTTTGTTTGTTGAAGCTTTGAAAGCAAACACCACAAGTGTCGTGCCTCTAATGGTTCACCTAAGCTAGCAAGAAGGAAAATATAGAGAGAGAAAAGGGGAGGCAAGATTTCGTCCAAGGCTTCTAGAGGGAAGGGTTGGACGAAATATGGAGCTAAGGAGACCTTTATATAACTGAGTAATCTTAGGGGCAAAGCAAGCTTTTAAAGATAAGCCATAGATTCCCTTCCTTGGTGACCAAGCAGCCCAATCCCTTATCCAAAGGACCTTGGACGAAAATTGTAGGCCTTCCTTAAAAGTTTTCGTCCACCTCATCTAATCTAATGAGGTTCTAGAACCTTCCTTCCTCATCTTTCAATAAATAATCAGACAGTCCTTGTACTTTTAATTAATCTAATTAATCCTAAAATTAATTCCATTTAATTTATGATTAATTATTAATCAAAAATTTAAGATTCCAATTAATCATAAAATTAATTCCAATTAATTTCTGTTTAATTATTAATTCCAATTAATTTCTGATTAATTAATCATAATATTAATTCTAATTAATTTCTAGATGAAACAATAAATTTAAGATAGAGCAAATGATTGCAATTGACATTAGTTTTGACATCATCAAATTGGAAAAGATTGTAAGGTAGAACCTTATAATCTGATGAGTCAAGTAATAACACATGATGACCATCAGTGTCAATGGCAGTGTAAGCATCAACGCTAGTGCTCGTACTTAGAAGCATCAACATTATCGTATGACCTATTGTACTGTTGTTTTTACTTTGTATTATGTAATTATAGTAACGATATGTGTTAGAAAATTATTCCTTAATCTTAGTGATTAAGATTAGTTTGCTTATTTAGATTAGAATCAATCCCTTTAATGTTAATATTTATATTTTCTATATTCGTATAAATGGGTTGTCTCAATACAACCCTGATCATCGCTTTGTGCATTCGATTCTCTTTGTAAGAACCATTTCTTAGTGATATCATCTTCGTGATAATTTTGTGTTAATTTTTTTCGGTCTATGATCCTACAGGGATCAAATAACTTAACACTTAAAATGTATGAAAATAAACTTCGATTTTCAATTGAAAACTTTCAAATTTTTCATTTACTTTTTTGATGAAATCAATTAAAATAAATATTTCTTTCCAAGAAATGGATAATATTGTATTTAATATTTTTTTTATAAAATTTGGCACAAAAAATATAAGACAGTATTATGATTTACTTTTTTCATATCTATATAAACAACTATAGCGACAATTTTTGTAATTAATTCTTTATTTATAAATTTGTCACAAATGTTAGGTTTGTGTCGTCAGAACTTTTTTTTCTTAAGTATTGTATTTTTTTTTCAAAGTGTTTATCATAAATAAAGTTGGAAAAAATCTAAGTTAAAAAAAAAAAAAACTAAAATATATGTGTTTTTTAGGTTAGAAGATGTCTGAAGAGATTAAAAACTTTAATCCACATCTGCACCAAGAAAAGGAAAAACAAACCTTTTAAGGTCTGCAATCTTCAGAAAAGAAAAAACAAATAATTTGCAAAGAGTAATGTCTACGCATGGTTTGTACAACACAGACAAAAAAAGTCAAAAAAATCTACAGATAAAAAACAAACAACATCTTACTTTTCGATTATATAACTTTTGATAAAAATATGTTTATATATATATATATATATATTGGTAGGACATAAATTTATTTGTTATGAAATATAAAAGGAATATTAAACGGTCGGAGTGAGTTAAAAAACTCATCTTTTATCCGATAGTTAAAAGTTTTATAATTTTTTTTTAAAATAATAATAATAATAATAGTAATATTAAAAAAAACGACCTTTAAATATGCTATTTATTAACATGTGAATTATATGACATTTTGTAATGCTAGTATTTTGTTATTTATTTTTTATTTATAGTATTTAGAGTAATAGTGATATTATGATTTATGAATTATGAATGATAATGTTTTTATTGTTTTTTTTTTTTTTTTTGCCATTAGTAATTTCTTATGTATCAC